AGCGCGCAGGGCACTAGCAAAAAAAGGCTCTCAGGGGCAATCCATCAGGTCGAGTTTTCATCCACTGCCAGCAAGGCGGAGCGGCGGAGTGGGTGGGGGCTTGGTACTGGAGAGTGTGAATTATGATGGTTCCTGTGAGGATTATTCGAGGGTTACCCTCAAGGCTACGAAAACCCTAAACCCTAAACCCTAAACCCTAAACCCTAAACCCTAAACCCTAACTGACTACTATTTGGGGCTGTTTCTGGGTTTGATTTTTGGTCTCAGGTTTTCGGGGACTAGGCTGGAGTTTGAGGTTTGCAGGGATGAAGGTATGTATCAGACTCTGGGGTTTTAGGCTCACGTGAGACCCTTAGGGGTTATGGAGGAGTGCGACTGTTCCAAGAGGGATGTTCAAGAAAAGGGTTTAGGGTTTAGGGTTTAGGGTTTAGGGTTTAGGGTTTAGGGTTTAGGGTTTAGGGACCCCAACTACCATCCACAGGTAGATCTCGGGCTGCCTCGATTGCAGCAGCGCATCTTCTGACTCAGAATTCCAGCTGGACCCTCTTTGATGCCGTGTCTCTTGTGTCTGGGCTTTGCCTTCAAATGTTTGTAGTGTTTTATAGCAGTTTCGCACAGTACAAACACTGAACCCCACACCCTGAACTCTAAAACTTCAAATCCACTCTGAAACGTGGTGTCTTTAGGTGGCATCGAGAAGACCGGAGACAGAGATTAACTTGTCCTATGCGCAGTCTCTGGACGAATTCGCACTGTCTCTGGGAAGGGAGCCGGCTCTTGACCAAGTTCGACGAGAGCTTCCGCAGCATCTCTGGATGCACATTGGGCCGGGCCCATGTAAGTCGTGATACGAGTCCTTAGCGACTTCCTCCAGTTATTAAGCCACAAGATCAGTGGTGAATTTGAGGTTTGGGGTTTCGGCTTTGGGGTTTGCTGGTAATGCTGGAGATAGTCAGCTTTGAAATGAGCCTGCGCTTGGGATTTAGGTGTTAGCTTGTGAGTGAACTGAGGCATCTGCGTGGTGGCGCGGTCGCGCAGGACTGGCGTGACAAGATGCTGGATGCATGACCGTGGTTGCGTGCGGCATTGGACAAAAGAGGCAAAGATAACCCTACACTAAACCCTAAACCCTAAACCCTAAACCCTAAACCCTAAACCCTAAACCCTAAACCCTAAACCCTAAGCCTTCAGCGATTTCGTCGGGTTTATATTGGGGCCCCCGAGTCTCGAAAGCTCACCTGTTTGTGAGGTTGCATTCGGTCTGAAAGGCTAGCAGCGAGCATCAAGTTTGTTGACGCCGGCCATGATGAAACTTCTTCCTCCTCGTCTTCCTTGGAAGGAGCTGTTCGTCTTAAAACTCGGGTTTCAGCTCGAGATTGTTGTTGTGGGTCTACTGCGCTATGTACACCTCCGAAGTTGCCCTCCGATTTAGATCGACTGCGGGGCGTAAACCTCAAACAACCCGTCTGCAAGCTTTAGGGTGAGCCGTCAGCTCACATCGCGAGCCCAGTGCCCTAAACCCTGAACCCCAAAGGCCCACTCAGCTTCCAAGTGCGTGTCGCTGAAAATACGACACGGAACAATGGGAGTTATCCCCTTGTAGTTCCCTGCCCAGTTCAGAAAATTCAGTTGAAAACGTACGCTCTTCTTTCTTTGTATTGGGCGAAACACCTCAAAAGCTTTGTGCCTGAAGAGTGGAAAATCCACCGAGCAGCACATGTCTACTCGAGGGTCCATGCGTGGAGGGTTCGACTCTGAGCCTGTACTAGGTATTGCCTGCCGGTAAATATAGACAGGGATTTGTTGAAGAAGTGTAAGGGGTTCTAGCCGCTCTAGTAGGTTCTGCAAGAGTTCGATGCGGACTCCATGCAGGTATTAGGAATGAGGTCGTGCTGAGGTTTGAGGGCTTGGGACGCTGAATGTGGAAGCTCCCATCAGTGAACATGCCGCCTGCAGTTCGCGTCGGCCCAACATGAACGGTGAGGTAAAGGTCGCGCCCAGCCAGATTCACAAGACCCTCGACCCCGAACCCGAACCCGACGCTCCAAAGTCCAACTTTGATTCAAGTCAACATTGCAATAGTAGAGCTCAAGACCAAAATCCTGACAGATGAAACGCGGAACGACGCAGCCCCACAGCCTCAATTGCCTTAGTCCTGCACCCCGGAGCATTGAACACCCAAGCCCAACCGAAACAAGCCCAAGCAGGCAGCTTTAATTGCACCGTAGGGGGAGCTTGAGATATCGGCTTTTCCGGATGGACCCCCTGTCGGACAAGGCCCAGATTCTGTCAGGATGCGGTGGTTTGGGATCGTTGATTTAGGTTTAGGGCTAGGGTTTATACAGACAGGGTTTAGGTTCGCCGTTTCGGGTCAAGTTTCGTGAGTGTGCATAGGTGTAGTGTGTAGGTTAGAGAAAGACAGAGTGTAGACAAGTGCTCCATGTATGGACCCTATTCTACGGTTTTCAACAGGGTCTTATTCGTATTCGTATGAGAATCCGTATTGCGGGGTTCAGAATATTAATCCGGGCTCTACACTACGTGCCGAAGAAACAATCTGACAATCCCCCTGTGGTTGCTGCTGCTGCTGCTGCTGCTGCTGTGATTGTGCTGTTTGCTGTGTCCTGTTGGGCTTTTTGTGCCCCCTGCTCGTCCTACGCGTCGAGCGGGCCGCGGTGTCGAAATCCTAAAGCCCCAGCGCGACGAGCCTATGCCCTGCAAGCCCTACAGCGCTGAACTCCAAACCTTGAATCCCGAAAGCCCCAAGCCCCGAACCCAGAAGCCTAAACCCTAAACCCTAATCCCTAAATCCTAGACCCTAAACCCTAAACGCTAATCCCTAAATCCTAAACCAAAAACCCTAAACCCTAAACCCTAATCCCTAAATCCTAAATCAAAAACCCTAAATCCTAAATCCTAAACCCTAAATCCTAAACCAAAAACCCTAAATCCTAAATCCTAAACCCTAAACCCTAAACCCTAAACCCTAAACCCTAAACCCTAATCCCTCAATCCTAAACCAAAAACCCTAAACCCATCAGCCTAAAGCTCCAGCCCCCTTTGGGCCCTAAGCCCTAAACCCTCTGCCAGAACCAAGGCCTTAAGTTCTAGTTTAGGGTTCAGGGTTCAGGGTTTAGGGTTTAGGGTGTAGGGTTTAGGGTTTAGGGTTAGGGTTTAGGGTTTAGGGTTTAGGGTTTGGGGTTACGGACTGTCGAGATTCTGGTTTACACCTTGAGGTGGGGGTCGAGGGAGTTACGGACAGCTCAGGGCTTCAACCTCGAGCTCTTGAGGTTCAGGAGCTTTAGGCCTTAGCATCCCAACCTTAAGAGGCTTAGTATAAGGGCCGAAGAATTAGAATAGGGTTTTGGGGCTCATCATACTATACTCATAATACTCATAATAAGGACCCCCTCCCCCCTAAACCCTAAACCCTAAACCGTAAACCCCCCCAAAAAATAGTATTGGTACTTATTTAGGCCCCTACATGAAGC